GAGTATCATGACCCCCTAGACTGGTGGCAATATTGGCAAGAAACAGAGCTGCTTTCCTGCGTATCATGATGTAATGAGCATTCTGCTAATGACTTGCTACTTAGTGTAATTTTTATCTCCAAATGACTTACTACATAGTGCAGTTTTTATCTCCAAATAACTTGCTACATAGTGCAATTTTATTTGTGAACTCTTTATGTCCCAAACAGCGCACCATGTGGCATTAGCTACTGCATCATTGTATCAAAAAACTCACTGTATGTTAACATACTTTTTGCTTTTGGTCTGAAAATACTAAAGAATTCTGCTACAATTGTATGCCTGTTTGCAGGTAACATTTAAATTTTTTTCCCCCATGTTAATAAACACCCTTCTTAGACATTTACAGCAAACTCTTCTGGGACTGAAAGAATCAAAGAGGAGAGGGAGGAAGATAAAGCAGGACGATCACTTGGTGGATGATATAGCCACTTTTACTTCCCTTGACATTATCTGATATCCATTTTAGGCCTTGGAGCCAAAGTCAGTTTTGATGGAAACAAAATCCGCCTCAGTGCGGATTCGAACGCAAGGCTGTCGGGCTGAGAGGCGAGCCGCTCGTCACAATGCTGACACGAAATCAGTGAATGATGGTAGTTATTGTATCAGACATTGTAGTGGTGTGGGTCACTTCTATGCGGTGTCCAAAAGCATCAGTAATTTCCTTCCAAAAGCACTTGTGGCGTAGAAGATAATCTGTATAAGAAATTACTGAAAGTACACGAAACAGAAGGATGTAGATAGACATGCCCTACCCCACCCCCCCCCCCCCCCCCCAAAAAAAAAAAAACATACGCGACAAGACTTTAGCCCGATTTTCATAGCTTTGAATACACGTCAAGGCAGATTTTTTAATGGCAGTGCTCCCATCTAACGCAGTAATTGCATCCCAGAAGCAAGGCGTACAACAACAGGTACAGAACGGCCAGCTTGTAACTGGTCCTTCTAATAATTGAGCACAGTCCAAGCAAAGCCAGCCTAGGCCTCAACAGACATGTGAAACAAATAAATGAAGACATGCACGCCGCAAAGAAAATGAAAAAACAAGCCAAGACAGTAAAGAAAACTCCCCTCAAATGAACAGAGCGATTAGCCAGTCGAACGAAGAGTAAATCTGAAATTGTTCTTTCCTAACGAGCGCACCTGACTGCAGCTTACACTAGCCTGTTACGGTGTTCTTATTATAACTTTAAGGTTGAACGAGGTGTCTATGATTCGTACTGTTGGCCTGCCACACAGGATGTGACTCTTGAAGTACCAAGGGCGATCAAACATTCAGGGGTTAGCGGCTAAGAGGGAAAAAACAGACAAACATGTTAACCAGCTTAAATAAGTACTGCCAAATGTCTCTGTTAGATAAAGTGAGCGGGCATGATACTCACCGACTGGTGTGTGGTGTATAAAATTGGGAGGGGGGGGGGGGGGGGACAGCACCGTATACACAAAACCACTATGGCGTGCAAGTTTGACTCAAACTTACACATGAGTATTTTACAGTACTAGTTACCACGTCAAAGTGCCAAGGACACAAGGCTTAAAGCGTGAATTCGGGTTGCCTTGAGCAAGGAGGATTCAGTTGCTTTGTCAACAAAATACCCCGTGAACTTGTGAGTTTCACGGTGAGAAAAAAAAAAGACCTCGCCAAGAATCCCCCACGTTTGCTTGATTTGGATAACGGCGGCTACTTTTGCTCATTTAGAAGTTCATTAATTTGCCGTTGACATCTGCTGTGTTGCGGGTTATTGCCACGCTGTAGAGTGTTATTTGAACATTGTTCAATGTCATTTCATCAGTAGCCGCACGTGGTAGCGTCACACGACAAGACCAAGCGACTGTCTGAAAGAAGCAATCAATCAAATCAGAATATCAGTCGTATTGAAAACAGGGAAATGGAATATTTCTGGAGTAAGTCAACTTAGTTTTACTTTATATTTAATTTTGCTTGATTCTTCGTGTTATTTCACACTCTTCATAGGACTGAGTCGGCTCTGTGGCTAAGTCGATGCGAACGCTTTGTAATGCCGAGTTCGATCCCAGCTGCAGGCCATGCACCTTGCGTTGGTTTCGACAGTGGTATCAAGAAAGCCGACAGTCCAGAAAGCAGTGACAAACTACTAGACGTAAATTTGCCTAGAAAAACCACACAACAGCCAGGGGCTGTTGGGGTTGGTTCTGCAACGTCCTGTAAAGGATACGCAACTAACCTAACCATAGGACTGAAGATCTCAGAGCGAATAACAAATGGCCGTTAGATGCCGAATGTTGACAGTCTAAGTAACGATGGCAGAATGCGACAACAGTGCCATGTGCGGACAGTCCAGATGGCATATGACTGGCATAGTCCATTTAGAATAGTATGCCTTCAAACCTAATCTGCCTCCAACAAAATAGCCTGGATCAAATTGTTTTCCCTGCTTATATGTTCGTTGAGATTTAATAGTTTACAAGGATGCAGGTATAATAACAGCATATGCTTTAGACTTTTATGTTACAGTAATTGCGTCTCTGAAAAATATCTACCCTTAACGCTTGTACTTAACAAGGACCTGCACGCCAACAATTTTCAGGCGCATTTGAAAGACTTGATGTATGTATATACATTATTATATAGTCAGCGAGAATGATTATACCGTCGACGTCTGTGGCTTAGGCCTTGCCAACGCGTTTCGCAGTGGCAAACTACTAGACGTAACATTGCTTAGAAAAACAGCCAAAAATGCTTAGGTTGGTTCTGCAACGTCATTTATAAGATACGCAACTAACTTATGTACCACAAGCTTTCAGGGACAGTTTGCAGGTTTCGCCGACACATTTGTTTCCACAAATTGAGATACTAGTTGCTTATCCTTAAACAGGACGTTGGATATGTGAGCGTATTATATGACGTGCAAACTGCACAACACGATAATCAAAACCAGAATATATATATATTTGCTCCCTACCCCCTTCCCCCGTTTAGAAAGTTATCCATGCAACTTGTATGTATGCACCTGGCATGGCTTGTCCCCAGAAGGTGCAGACAGTGATCGTTTGACACAAAAGGTGCAGACAGTGATCGTTTGACACAAAAGGTGCAGACAGTGATCGTTTGACACAAAAGGTGCAGACAGTGATCGTTTGATACAGAAGGTGCAGACAGTGATCGTTTGATACAGAAGGTGCAGACAGTGATCGTTTGATACAGAAGGTGCAGACAGTGATCGTTTGACACAAAAGGTGCAGACAGTGATCGTTTGACACAAAAGGTGCAGACAGTGATCGTTTGATACAAAAGGTGCAGACAGTGATCGTTTGATACAAAAGGTGCAGACAGTGATCGTTTGACACAAAAGGTGCAGACAGTGATCGTTTGACACAAAAGGTGCAGACAGTGATCGTTTGACACAAAAGGTGCAGACAGTGATCGTTTGACACAAAATGTGCAGACAGTGATCGTTTGACACAAAATGTGCAGACAGTGATCGTTTGACACAAAATGTGCAGACAGTGATCGTTTGACACAAAAGGTGCAGACAGTGATCGTTTGACACAAAAGGTGCAGACAGTGATCGTTTGACACAAAAGGTGCAGACAGTGATCGTTTGACACAAAAGGTGCAGACAGTGATCGTTTGATACAGAAGGTGTAGACAGTGATCGTTTGATACAGAAGGTGCAGACAGTGATCGTTTGATACAGAAGGTGCAGACAGTGATCGTTTGACACAAAAGGTGCAGACAGTGATCGTTTGACACAAAAGGTGCAGACAGTGATCGTTTGATACAAAAGGTGCAGACAGTGATCGTTTGATACAAAAGGTGCAGACAGTGATCGTTTGACACAAAAGGTGCAGACAGTGATCGTTTGACACAAAAGGTGCAGACAGTGATCGTTTGACACAAAAGGTGCAGACAGTGATCGTTTGACACAAAATGTGCAGACAGTGATCGTTTGACACAAAATGTGCAGACAGTGATCGTTTGACACAAAATGTGCAGACAGTGATCGTTTGACACAAAAGATGCAGACAGTGATCGTTTGATACAAAATGTGCAGACAGTGATCGTTTGATACAGAAGGTGCAGACAGTGATCGTTTGATACAGAAGGTGCAGACAGTGATCGTTTGATACAGAAGGTGCAGACAGTGATCGTTTGACATAGAAGTGCGGACAGTGATCGTTTGACATAGAAGGTGCAGACAGTGATCGTTTGACACAGAAGGTGCAGACAGTGATCGTTTGACACAGAAGGTGCAGACAGTGATCGTTTGACACAGAAGGTGCAGACAGTGATCGTTTGACACAGAAGGCGCAGACAGTGATCGTTTGACACATATTTGCTTAGTTTCAACCTCTTGCAGATTAATCTGAACTTTATTCCCAGTGAAGCATAAGCCCTCAACCAACTTGCGCCAAGTCGTCGTCTCTTTATTTTGCAATCGTCTGCAATCTCTTGACCCCCCCCCCCCCACCCTTTCCACAATCTTTCTTGACTGCTTAGCTCCAAAAGTTCCAGTGAAGTCACATCCTTGCTGTATTAGACTGTTATTGCCAGTTTAGCCTCTCCCATGGCAGCGTATTTCATCACCTCTAGATTTACTGAAATTAGGTACGTGCTCTTTAACACATGGTCGCACAGGCACTACGCGCCCGCGCGCACACCCACGCACATTTATATATACACACGTGCATGCTCTATCCTACACACTGGCACCCCACCGGACAACACTCACTCGATACCCGACCAGATCAGAATTGCATGCCATATTTAAATAAAAACCAGATCAGTGATTAGAAATCCCACAAACCCATATATTTCCCCACGAAAGATGCTTGTTGTCAGTTTACTTTTTCTTTGTTAGTGCTATGTTATTAATGAAGTGAAACAAGTATTATGATTAAACTAAAAAATTGAAATAATCAGAAATGTATGGTTACTTTAATGCATTGAAAAAGCCACGGAACAATCACTGTTGTTGCAGGTGTTGTCTTGAACGCAGAGAAGCGCAGTGTCCAGTGGGTGGTGAATAAAATCAGCGATGAGGAAAACGCTGGCATCATTCACACGCTCTTTCTGAAATCGGTAAGTCTCGTATTGTGTGCGCCCCTGCGAAACCCGAGCTATTTCTTAGCTGATCATGTTAGCTGCGTGTCTTCTATGTTCTCTTGCAAAGGCGGTTGGTGCGTCATGTAGTCTACAGCTAGGCTGTGACACCTGCTCCTTTGTTCCTAACACATCCGATTTCATAAAATCCTTAATGAATCTGCTTTTACAACGTATTCAATGAGCAGTGGGTCTATTCCTGTTGCCTCCCAAATGGAGCTCCAGAAGCTATAGGTCCTTCAGGGAAGTGGCGTTTCAAATATATTCTCACACACACGTTCATTCGGTCATGATTATCAGTCATGTTAAGGTGGGGGTGGGGGGGGTGTGGGGGGTGGGGGGGGGGCGTTAGCTCAGTAGAGACTCGCTTTAAAATCCAGCTGCGACTCTCTGCAGCCCAAGGCCGGTGTTCGAAACCGAGCGTTTTCAAGGGTTCACCCAGCTTCTAGGTAATGGGTACCTGAGTTAACACTCTGGGGTAAATTGAGGAACGTCGCTGTAACTATGGAGTTGCGCGCGGACGTGACACAGGCGGACAGTTCATCAGCTGTCCGTACTGGCGGCGGAGCACTTTTGGTTTATAATTGTGTGCAATGACGCAAGTTTACATCTCAAGGCTTTACCTTTTATACATCACTTTAATACCTGATTCCCCCACCGTTTTGTCCTGCGGAAAAAAAATTGTGAATAGACTCTTCTAGCCACTTGAAAAGTTTTGTTGCTGGGTTTTGTTCTTGCACGTCGAAGGTTACTGTCTTCTTTCTGTGATAACTTTTTAGCGGCTTCCCCTGAGTTTGGCATCATGGCAAGATGCTTTGTCGGAATTACTTGAAAAGTACATGAGGCAGGAGGCTGTGTGAAAAGATGACTCAACACAATTTGGCATCGACTATATTTTCTAGAATTTAATCACGCATTCGGCAACTATGAACCCCTTTAACTACAGTAAAAAGGTGAAAAATACAGTGGTATGGACATATAATAAGATCTAGCGGTATTTCAAAGACAAATAGTGCACGGCTAAGTAGAGGGAAAGAGAAGAGGAAGACCAAGAAAGACCTGGTTACAGAATCTGACTGACTGGACAGCCTCAGGCATGCAACCATGAAGTCCATCGCAACTGACTGCCAAAGTTGGAGAGAGCTGATCAGTTAATAGAAACTGACTCGACAACACGTAGTGTTACGGGATGGTGATGATGAATCACACAGGCAAACTCTCTCACACACACACACACACACATACACATGCACACACAGTGTCACCTAATCACAGGCAGTTTTTAACAGTCTATTGTTTAAATATCATGCCACATAATCATGGCACATAATCATGGCACCGAGACAGAACATCTCCACTTGTCAGATAAATGCACGCCATTTCCTGGTCTCATATGGCCTGACCATCAAGTGGGCTTGAGGTCACTCTCCCAGAGACCTTTCAGGCATCTTAAAAACCAAATACAAGAGCCATAGCTTTACAGGAACGTACAAAATATAACATTTGCATTTGAACTCAGTTTAGTCCCAAGTAATGTGTGATTGGCTCTTCCACTGCAAATGCTGAAGAGGCATATTATTTAATTTTTAGTAAGAGCATTTTAAAGAAATCTGGCTTGTAGAGTGCTATTTGCACTATGTATTTAGTTATTTAGTCCTAAAAGCTACTGCAAAAATTTGGAATCTATAACATCTTTCATGTTGAGAGAGAGCGGGTCGATGGTCTTTTAGTATTATATATACACACACACAGACACACACACACACAAACACACACACACACACACACACACACAAATATATGTATACACGCACATATATATAAATGTTTGTACATACATACATACATACACACACCCTCCAACTGAAACTGTCAGTATTTAGTGTTTTCAACATGTAAGATCATGGTGCTGTGAAGTTTCCTAAGTAGGTATTGTTTGTCATCCCGCAGGCTGTTCTTGGTGGAAATGCTCAGCCTGGTGAACCAAATGTTGTTGTACTGCATTCTGTCGGGGATGATGGAAAACTACAAAAGGGAGCTATAGCACACCTGATGCGTGGCCAAAACCCCATGGTAAGTTTGCAGAATTCAGCATTCCACTTTGTCAGTATATTCTTGCCTCAGTGAATTTTAGTGTATTTGAGTAAATTTCTGTTTAATAAAGTGTAAGGTATCTGTTAAGCACACCATGTCCCTCACGTGTAAGCATCTAAAAGATAAATATTTTAAGTCTTAACTAACAGTCCCATTTAAACAAATCTTGAACCTTGACTTTGTTTCTCATAACTGTCATCAGCCATTGCCTTCTGCCACTCTATGGTTGTTTTGTTTCGTTTCACGCTCTGAAGGTCATGGGCTTGTTTCATCGTGGTGCCGTTTAGTCCATGAGGGCAGTTTAATGGAGATCCATGTGGATCATTGCCAGAGCTACTGAGTTTGTACTTTGTGCGTCACTCACAGCAGGCGGCTCATTCTGTGAAGAGTCATATGGGATAAACCCCAGTACAATGAAGTCAATCCTTTCGACTTTGACTCTGCAATGATGGAAGCGTCAACTACGCCTTGGCTTTGTAGAAACTGGATCTCTACACATTGAACTGTCAGGTTGCAACAACAGACAATTCTCAGGCTGTCTTTTCTTGTTCTGTTTTTCTATAGCCATGTGACACTGTGTTGATTTGGGCCACCAAGTTACTTTTGGCTAAGATCTGCATGTCTGGTGATCTGATGGGCTAGACTCGTCTCCATATTTGAAGTCTGCAAGATTTTGGATCCAGGTTTTTCTTCTTCTGCTTCATCTCTTTTTTGTTTTTCTATTGTGCCAATCTTTATATGTTTTGGACTGTTAGGCCACTACATCTTATTATATACCAACCACTGCATTTTGTTCCTCTTTACTATTAACAGGTATTCATAGATTCTGAGGCTCTGGATATTTTGATGTATTGTCAGTGTTGAAACTTGTTCCTTCCATGTAATGCTGAAGCATTTTGTTTGTGGGCGAGTTTAGGCTTGAGTTTTGGTCATTATGTGACATCGTAATCCTGGTTATACTGCATTGATTAACGATGCCCCTCTCCCAAGTATAAACTATAGAAATGACGACCGTCTCCCAGGTATAATCTATTGAAATGATTTCCTTAACCTTGAACTGTTCTTCATTCTCCCCCCGCCCCTTTTTTCATCTCATTGCTACCAATAAGAAAGCAGCTTTGTGGATCTCACTTTGTCTTGGACCTATTCTTTGCAATCAGATGTCAGTAACTTCACAACCGTCATTATTTCTCTTTCCTTCTTTAGAAAACACAATGCTTCTCAACTTAATGATAATGACACAATAGAGGCTAGATGTATACGTAGGTGATGAGTATTTAGCCATCAGGGGTGTCTTACATTTTTTTAATTTAGTATTTTTTTTTTTTTTTTTTTTTTTACATTCTAAGAAATACTGCAGGCAGCTACTTTAAAATTGCTATATATCAGTGATTCCCAAACACTGCGCCGCTGGGCCCCGGGAAGCCGCGACCTCTTCACAGAGGCACCGCAAAATGTACGAAGATACACAGGTTTTATGTTTTTATCTCTTACAGACGAACAGTCATAATTTTACTTAGATTAGGGCGCCGTGAGAAAATTTTAATTGAAAAAAAATGTGCAGCACTTGTTTGAGAAACACTGCTATATATGACTGTTGAAGAGCGTCAGTCATTTGATCACCTGCAGGTTTTCTGTCTGCCTTGTGCACTGAGACCACTGTCGTCTTCATCTTGGAACTGCTTCTGGTCATATGTTTGGTCACTGCTGAAATGTTAACAGAATATACATATGTTAATGATGTAGCTTCTGAAATGAAATGTTAACAGAAAATACATGTTAATGATGTAGCTTTGAAATGTTAACAGAATATACATTAGTTTTTAACGATGTCGCTACTGAAATGTTAACAGAATATACATTAGTGTTAACGATGTCGCTACTGAAATGTTAACAGAATATACATAGGTGTTAATAATGTAGCTACTGAAATGTTAACATAATTTACATATGTTAATGATGTAGCTACTGAAATGTTAACAGAATATACATATGTTAATGATGTAGCTACTGAAATGAATTTTTCTGTAAAACATTGGTTACATTTGCCGGCCTTGTACTATTTTTGTCTCTGTAGTTGATTACCTTCCCTTGAGTGCATTCAAACGTTGATGTGTAAGTTAGGAAAATGAAAATGCAACCCCAGCATAAAACTCCTGGAATGCTTATACCAAAGGTGCCGGCTGTTGAAATTTGGAACGCATGTAAAATCAAGCCATGAGTTTAATTCTGGGATATACAAGAGATACCCTGATAGTGTGTATGTGGTGTATACTTGCACTGCCGATAATTACAGATAGGCTCAAAGAGCTTCGTGCAAAGTCCATATCTCAGAGCTCCGAGTAGCCGCAGATAAGAAACACCTCCTGCATGAAGCCCTAGACAGAGCTAACGGTCACAGACTGAAAAGAGGAACGTGTTGGATGGTGAAAGCTGAAGACAGACATGTGTGTAGACTTGATAACATTGGGTCAGGAGACGGGTGGGTCAGAATGTCCCAGCAAGTCAGAATTGTGTAGGGTTCTGATCACACTGGTCCATGAGTGCAGGGACTAGCCATCGGGTGCTGCAGAATCAGAAATTCAACAGATTCATGACAATGCTTGTCAGGTGATGTGATAATCTATACAAATAGCTCTATGTTGAGAGGCAGATGAAACTCATGGAGATTCTTAGCAAAAGTGAATGGATGTCACCTAGTACATTAAAGCTTGGCATATGACACCACATCTAGTCTGAGAAAGGAGGTAACTGCAGTCTTTTGCTGGCTTAAGAATCAACTGTTCACACGTTGTAATTGTAATCGATTCAGAGCATAATGAGAAAGGTGAAGACAGGTATGGTCTGAAGAGTGCTGGCATCGATGCAGAGGTCTCGTGTAGTTAATGTCCTTTTTTTTACCCAGGATATGCTGGTATATTAAGAAATGAACAGGCAGATAGGTTAGTTGGTTCTGCACAACTTAGTGGTGAATTGATGCATGACAAGTTAGATGTAAGGGCTCCTTGATGAGGGAACATTGTGGAAGCAGATGGATCATCATGGTTTGAAGAGAATGGTACTGCGAGGATTGACAGGGGATCAGCACTCAAAGGAAAAGTGATTGATATAGAGTCAGACTATTTGTACCACTGAAACTATAACTCTGCGCTTGCTGGTGAAGTTAGATCGGAGCTCTTATTCGAATGTCCCGAGTGATGTGATGTCGATTCTTAATTAAACATTAAACAGTACTCCCTAGATGCCTCCAGACAGATGATTGTGATGTTACTACATATGCTTTTTTCTGCATTTTAAGGCTCTGATGGTTGAGAAACTGAGGATGGATGATGGTAGAGTACTGAAGGACATCCTCTGATTTACAGATAGGCACAGAATGTTGATGTCCTGACTTGAGTATAATTTAAAGATGTGTACATGAGGAATATGAATGATACAGGCATTGATTCCAATTTATGGGAACAGGATGCCATGGATGACATTGGAGAGGTGAAAATAGGAAGTGAATAAAGACAAATAAAAAAAAGTATTGCATTAAGGTTGAGAACTGAGCAAAGAAAAATACAATACTTATAACGATGTTCCTGTCATTTCATGCATTTGTTGTGGAGGATTCTTGAGAGCTGGTCTTGCTAGTCCAAACTCTTCACTATCTTCTGGATAGATAGACCAGCGCTAACCAACCTTCATAGTCTGTGACAGTTTCTCCTAGTTATGAAGGTCTACTTTTAGACTGTATTTGGTATATGCATCTTTCACTTCTATACTTCAGACTCCACTGGACATAACTATCCCAGGGAAACTTGGTGCTACTTTCATCTTAAGTGAAGGCAGTGGGCCTGTAACTATTGCAGGCAATCATCTTGTAGGTAGGTGATGTTTAAATCAATTCATTGTAAATCAGGTCTTAAGAAAACTTCCAAAGATAATGAAACAGGAACTTAAACAGTTGACAGATAAAAAGTGTAATGTTATAAAGTTCAGAAAAACTGACTACCTGTATCAGGCGACAATCTACATTCTTTAGTGAGAAAGGGAAAACTGGAGTATGCCATGACGAAAGGAAAGATTGAAAGGAAGGCAGCAGAGGATGACCAAGAAAGATGTTAAACAGCTAGGCAGGTTGACGACATGGAAGAACATCTGTCAGCAATAAACAGTACATATGACTACAGTCTGTGGACATACAGGATTACTAATGCCATATGATGAAGTAAATTAAAATATCAGCTCACTTATTTCTTTATTAAATTGATGTGATTTGGAATTGAGACTGTATAGCTTATACTTTCATAATTAATGGAATTAGTTCTGGTAGTTATTGTAGAACTGAGTAAATGAGTGAATCCGGAACATTCTGACATGTCTGCCCCCAATCCATAGTAGCCAATGAAGGGTTTTCATTCTGACATGTCTGCCCCCAATCCATAGTAGCAAATGAAGGGTTTTCATTCTGACATGTCTGCCCCCAATCCATAGTAGCCAATGAAGGGTTTTCATTCTGACATGTCTGCCCCCAATCCTTAGTAGCCAATGAAAGGTTTTCATTCTGACATGTCTGACCCCAATCCTTAGTAGCCAATGAAGGGTTTTCATTCTGACATGTCTGCCCCCAATCCTTAGTAGCCAATGAAGGGTTTTCATTCTGACATTGCCAGCTCCAGCATGATTTTCACCACGTCACCCACCAAATGCCAACTGGTCTATGAAATATAGGTCTAGCCCTATGTGCCGAATGCACCTGAAGGTCGGAAAAAGGGTCCTTTACCCCCTTTTAGTGCCAGCTACAACATGATTATGCCTATCTTCCTATGCATTTTGAATGGCATCTTATCCTGTACGGTTCCTCGGCCTGGGGGGGGGGGGGGAAGAAGGGATGAACTGCCAAATAATTTCATTGTAAAAGTTGACACTGTCTCCTCTTGTGTATGGAAATGTGCAGATATCACAGCTTAGCTGTACACCACAGCATAAGTGCTAAACTTTGTTTTGAGGGTGAATGCTGAAGACCACTTGCTCTTTTCCTGCTAAACTCTTCATTTGCGGATATTGTCTTTGTTTTTGGGTGTTCTTCCCACTTATTCACTGGGATCCTATCAAGTCATATCAAGAAGTAGCTTGTCTACCCATAGGAGATGCAGCAGGCATTCTGTCTGCCTGTCATTACACAATACACAAAACTCCCATGGCAGGAAATTTCTATGCCCCTGTCATCTAGTCAAGTGATGCAAACCATTTTACACACATAAATTCATTTTCTGTAATTCAGTGAGACCATTACAACTAAATGTTAGTCTTTGCTGCTCTCTAGCCATTGGAAATCTGCTGTTTCCTCCATCCCCTTTCTCATGCTGATTAGAATTAGTTTAGATAGCATAAGCTCTTTAGCAACTATTAATTTTCTAAATTATGAAATGTATGCATGTTTATATATAACATTTGTAGAGATCGAAGCAGAAGATGATCTCTTGGATGACACTCAGGAGGAATGTACTGAAGGCGAGGAAGAGAAAATCGAAAACGAGCTTGGCCAAAGTGATGAGGAGTCTGAAGAAGAGACCAAAGGCAAGAAAAGTGCCAAGCGAAAAGCTACTCCCAAAACAGTCAAACAGAAGGTTTGTAAGTTTTCATTTAATTTTTATCTGGAGGAAAGAGCATAAAAGCACATAAATGTTTTAAGTTAAATTATGACGGATTATATATAAAGTTAAATATAGTGTACACAAAAATCCTACTTTATATATATTAAAAAAAAATTTTTTTTGTTTTATTTAACACCAGTTTTGAAGACGGAGATATTACCCCATGAATGGAAAGTGTCTTTATTAATATCCATTTTTAAGAAAGGAGATAAATATGAAAATTATAGAGGAAAATCACTATTATCTACAAGCTATAAGATACTGTTGGCGGTATTGCTAAACAGACTAAAACCATACGTCAAAGATATTTTGGGAGATTACCAAGCGGGTTTCTGACAGAACAGATCTATAGATCACATATTCATTTTATAGCAAATAGCAGAGCAAAATTGGGATCATATATAATGTACATAATTTTTTTGTTGATTTAAAAAAAAAGTGTATGGTACTGTACATAGAAACAGTTTATGAAATGCTATGAAGGATTTGGAATACCAAGTATTTAATTACCATGACCAGTTTTTGTATGGAAGACACTAGCAATATGGTAGTATATAAAGGCAGAAAATCAGACCCTTTTCAAATAACATGGTTTAAAGCAAGATGATGCTGACACACGCTTCTTTTCAACTTGGCTCTGGAGAAAATTATAAGGAAATTGAAGCAAGAGTGTACTATAGGAGAATCTACAAGAATACTTGGCAATGCAGATGACATTGATATCGTTGGAGAAAATGAAACTAGACTTTAAAACACTGACTCTTAAAAGAACCAGTCCCAAAATGGGACTAGTTATAAATCAAGATAAGGCTGAATACATAACTAGAGAGGGAAAGTCTATAAACTCCGGCCACATACAAGTCGATAATATGAAAATCAAACGAACGGAATCATAAGAACTTGGGTGCAAACTTCAACTGCTCTAACATGCTGAGAGAAGAAATAGTATATAGAATACAATCTGGAAATAAGGTATAGAAAGCCCTTCAAAATCTTCTAAAGTCAGTCTCTGGAAACACTAATATCAAAATATAAAAAACGTTAAGACCTGTCATTTTATATGGTTCTGAATCGTGGAGCACAACTAAAAGAGATAGACTTATTACAGGTTTTCGAAAACAGTCGTACGACGAATCTTTGGACCCATCAAAGATGCAAACAGCGAGGAATGGAGAGAAGCGATAACAAAATTCATAATTTGTTTAAATCACCACTGATCACTGGCATCTTGATAGCTAATAGACTTAAATGGTTGGGGCATATTAAATGTCAGGTGACAAGTGAAAGAAGCCATCAGGGCCAACATAAACACATCAATAGAATTGCTACATAGATTATTCAGTAAAGTCTGGGAGACCGAAGAAATACCAGCAGACTGGAGAGAAGGATATCTTGTGGAACTGCCCAGAAAAGGTGATCTACAGGAGCATGAAAACTATAAAGGAATTATGTTGCTGTCAGTTCCTGGAAACATTATTTTGGAAAGATTAAAAGATGCTGTTGATAAAAAGCTAAGAGATGAGCAGGCAGGTTTTCGGTCAAACAGATCCTGTACTAACCAAATAGCCACATTATGTATTATAATAGAGCAAAGCATTGACCTGAACTCACCACTTTGCATTGGATTTATTGACTATGAAAAAGCATTTTACAGCATTAATAGGGAATCTCTCTGGAAATTGATGGGGCACTATGGAATCCTACAGAAAATTATCAACTTAGTAAAGGCAACATATAAAGACATGAAATATTGAGTTCTTCATAAGGAAAAGCTAACAGATGCATTTGAAATAAAAACAGGTGTGCGACAGGGATGTCTTTTGTCCCATCTCTAATTTTTACTGGCTATAAACTGGATTATGAAAACAGTAACAGCTAACACCAAGAATGGAATTCAGTGGACCCCTACAAAACAGCTTGATGATCTGCTGATGATGTTGCTCTTCTGTCCCATTCACGGAATCAGATGCAAGATAAATTAAATATACTTGATGCGAGATCACAGCAGCTTGGTCTGAAAATTTATAAAGGAAAGACAAAGATAATGAGAATAAATCAGGCAAATAGTAATGTGGTTTCTCTTAATGGTACCCCACTCCAAGACGTGGAGTCGTATACCTATTTGGGCAGTAATGTAGATAAAGATGGAGGAACTGATAGAGATATTAAAAAAGAATACAAAAGGCAAGAGGGGCTTTCATAGCACTAGGGAATTTGTGGAAGTCAAAAGAAATTAAAAGAAATACTAAACTAAAAATTTTTTATTCTGTCAAATCAGTACTATTGAATGGGGCGGAAACATGGAGAACAACTAAGACAAATACTAATAAATTAAGACATTCATTAACTGGTGCCTGCGCAGAATAGGGGGAATTAAATGGTAGGCTAGAATAACTAATGTAGAACTTTGGGAGAGAACTAAACAGGCTCCAGTGGACCAAGAGGTGAGAAAAAGGTGCTGGCGTTGGATAGGACACACACTGACAAAATAGAACAGCATAACTAGAATATCTTTGCATTGGAACCCACAGGGGCATAGGAATAAAGGAGGGCCAAAAAATACATGGAGAGGAGAGCTGGAGAATGAAGTTAGAAAAATGGGGAGGACATGGGGAGAGCTCCATGCAATAGCGAAGGATAGAACGACTTGGCGTGAGTTGGTTGAGGGCCTATGCTCCATTGGGGGATAGAAAGGCAGAAGAAGAAAGACAGAAGTGAAAACTATACACAAGGGAGATGAATGGTTGAGAACCACGAGGCAGACCAAGAAGTACATGGAGAGACTATGTCCAGACGGACCTGCAAACATTTGGTGTCACCAACTGGAAAGAGAAGGCCAACCAGAGATGAATGAAGGTGGGTTCTGTCTGCAGCAATGAACCTCAAGGGCTTGGAATGCTGAAAAATAAGGTTAACTGATGCTCTTTGAAAAATATTCAGACATTTTATTTTTAGTTGTTAGGTCATTTTGAAACTTATATTTATTTTGGTGAAGGTCTTTAATGAGACTGCTGAATACTAATAAAACGTTGCTAGTTAAACTCTTAGTATACAACGTGTGTTTAATATGTTTATATAAGAAAAGCATTAATAATTACTGTATCAGAAACATAATTTTTCTGGAATTTGTCATTTATTGTTGGGTGCAGACTTCAGAATTCAACGTATGAAGCACAAGCACATGCATGAATCCTTTCAACTAAAGTACATAATTCCCGTAGTCTGTGTTTTGCCTGAACATTTCATCATGGGAAGTCTTAGATTAACCTAAATTATGTTCATATCCCGGGACTGCCTGTGCCTGTGGCAACTGCTTCAGCATATTTCCACATTTGCCAGTTGTATATGTGATAAGTTGCAATACCCTTAACTTGTGCCCAGTGTCAAGCAGATTGCCTGCTGTAGATTTTTCCTTTCCCTATATTTAGTCTTAGAAAACTAGCACATAATTGCAAGAACAAACTCCTGAATTTGACATCAATCTCTAATATATATCTCACAAGCAGCTCCTGTTATAAAGCATACAAATGGCACATATTTGTTCCAGCCATTCACACCACTCATAATCTGTCAGTGTTCTCAAATGTGTAACATCTTCTCTCTGAAATCACTTATACATTTATTACTGCTTTATCAGCAGAAAGCCAAAATGGATGTGGAAGATGATGATCAAAGTGAGGAGGAAGAAGAGGTAAGACTGGTATGCCTGAATTTACATAAAAATGTACATGAACAGGAATGAACTTTTCAGGAATCTGCAGCTAATTAGTTTGGCTGTTGGCCTTACGCTTTGAAGATTGTGAGTTTAAGATCTCTTGCAATCCTGTTTACCTGGGTTCGATCCTCATATTAGGCAATATAAAAAGACTTACCATTGCCTTCAGATAGTGGAACATGAGTGCACCGTGGAAGAGATTGGGGCTTCAACACATATTCTCATATTTAGCAGTAGTAACATTGCTGCCACCCTCTGTTGTGTAGTGTAATATTTTTTTTTTAAAGGAGATCCCTAGGGATCATCAATGAAGCTATGAAATTGTGTGCTTTTCCTGATGCTGTATGCGGTCATTCAGGTTGTCATTTAGGATATGATGCATTAGAGTAGATCCGATTATATTTAAAAAGCAGACACTTCTTCATACAAAGGTAAGCAAAGTCACTTTCTCTGCCAGTGTCAGGCTTATAGTCGAAACATTTTTGTCAACTTCACCCTATGATCCTAGGAAACACTTCGTTTTTGTGTGGGTTGGGGGGGGGGGGGGGGGATTAGCTATAAGATTACACAGTAACAGCAATCCTGAATGTTGCTAGGCCTTCCTTCACCTTTCCTTTCCAGTTACCTTTCCTTCCTTGTCATCTTTCCTTACTGCCACCTTTACTTCCCTGTTACCTTTCCTTCCTTGCCACATTTCTCTCTTTGCCACAGTTCCTTCCTTGCCACAATTCCTTGTGTTACAATTCCTTTCTTTCCACCTTTCTTGCCCCAATCATCTTTTCGTCTCTACACCCTTTCCTTCCCTGTCAGTTCCTTTCTTGTCACCTTTCCTGTTACCTGCCATCTTTTCTTCCCTGTCCCGTTTTCCTTTCTGACACCTTTCCTTCTCTGCTGCCTTGACTTCCCTGTTTTTACTTCCTTGCCACTTTTCCTTCCTTGCCACAATTCCTTGTTAACAATTTTTTCCATGCCCCCCCCCCCACCATCTTATCTTTCCTTGCAACCTTTCCTTCCCTGCTACCTTTCCTTCCTTTGCCACCTTTTCCATCCTTGCCATCTTTTCTTCTCTGCCACCTTTTCTAAACCCTGCCACTTTCCTTTTCTGCCAGACCCAGACAGTTCAGTCAATTGACTTTTTCCTCATGTTTAATTTCAGTTTTTTTCTGCTTTCTTGTTTACACTACCTCTGCCTGAGGATTGGGGGGGGGGGGGGGGGGGGGGGGGGGGGGGGGGGGGGGGGGGGGGGGGGGGGGGGGGGGGGGGGGGGGGGGGGGGGGGGGGGGGGGTTAGAAAAGGCCACAGGTCTGTATGCTGTGAATACTGGTGTGACACAAGTCCTCATATGATCCATATAGCCTGGTTTCCACCATAATACAGATTGGACCCCCATGTCGAGAGCATGGCTTCAGTATTTGCTGTGTATGTGAACCGAAATCCCATGTTATCGCCTGCTATGACTCTCAACATAATTTTTAATACCTTGAATTCATATATAAGAGAACAAACAAGCTAAGACATGCCACACACAGACTATTGCTGAATATGTAATGATGATAGATAAATAATTCAGATTATCATCCATGTGTTAAGTGATAGATGGTTATGGGAATCTTTTCAATTTGTTGGTTAAATATCATTTCTGTCCATCATTAAATTGTTGCATTCTGCAAGAAAACATCGCAAAAGCTTCGTCTTTTATCTCTGTTTAAAGTATGTTTCAGAGCTGTAGTGTCTTTGGCCAGATAGTAAATTTTCTGCAATTCATTGTCACAAGGAATGTTTGTTTTTAAAGTATATGTTTCTGGCTACTGAAATCCATGATCTTATTTCTGCTTTACAACACACATCCTGTGTAATCATTTAACCTCAGATAATACACTTGCCACTTACACTGGTCTTGGACAGAAGTGTTGTCTTGGATAGCACATGGTGCAGCCAATATGGGTATCCACTTAGGGGATTGGGCAGTGTATTTGACATTTGCCCTATGTTTTGGCATTAGGATGCAAATTTGAGTCACAAGGGTGTCACATCATCAGATAAAAACAAGTCAGTCATTTAGCCTGTATAGAGACACCTCTTTAATTTGTTTTCTTTTACTGATATGTAAGTGCTAAGTTTGTTTCATAGTTATCATTTTTGCCTTTCTTGCATTTACCTTCAGCTGTGTCATGGTTTTCAATTATGTACTTTTATTTAAAAACAAAGTTTTATTTTTTGGATACATTTTGGCTGTATTAAAATATGCAGAATTTTCGAATGAATCGCTATTAAGCAAGTGATTAGTCAGTTTCAAGCCTGTAGCTCATTACATCTGAATTTGACCAGCATTTTTCCTGTTTGCTTCCCTTTAGCTGTTCCCAGTCTGAAAAAAGCATGTTTGTTTCTCGATATGGTTCCTATCCCTTGATGTGTATGAAACTGGAGGTCCTACCAGTAGCTCCAGTGCGACATAGCTTTTGGGATCATTGGATGACATAAGCCCCCTCTACCACTTCAAGATGGAGACACATCAGGGTGGATCTAGTTAGAAAATGTACTTTCAAAGAACTAGCCACATGATTTTTCCTTGCAATTTTCTAATCTTTCTAGGATGATGATGATGATGATGAAGATGAGGATGATGATGATTATGAAGAGGATGTGAAGTAAGTGAAAACATCTCTCTCTCTCTGATTACATAGTTACATAACTGTCAATTTCGAACTGAATAAATATTATACTTGTGAAAGCCCACCTATTTTTAATTGTTCAGGATATTTTCCTCTTCTCCATTCATCTTTAAAGGTTGGTTGGCATATTGTGGTGTGGTTTACAGCTAGGCTGCATGTTTCAACCCAAATGGGATTTAAGAAAACCCTTAATTAGTCATCTTTTATTACATGCTTGTTAAGAGGCATTGGAATATCCCCCCCCAACCCCTCCCCTTCCCTCCCTTCTCAAAATGGGACCACGGAACCAGCAGGTACCAACAATTTAGGCATGGAAGTGAGGGTCTCAGCATGACTGCTGGAAGTGAGGGCCTCAGCAGGACTGCTGGAAGTGAGGGCCTCAGCAGGACTGCTGGAAGTGAGGGCCTCAGCAGGACTGCTGAAAGTGAGGGCCTCAGCAGGACTGCTGGAAGTGAGGGCCCAAGTATCACTGATAGACTATGAACAGTGGAAGCAGCAGATATGTGTTTAGCATAGCCTCCAAGCCAGGAGAAATCCAGCACGGTTGGTCTGCCTCGGTTGTCAGATTTTTCCGAAAGAAATAGGTGGGCTTTGTTTTTCTGGACAGCTAGCAAGCCTCGGCAGGCAGAACTTCAATAAGGCTGTGGCGGTGCTTTACTTATTTACTGACAACAATGTGTGGGCATATTGGTTGGCATATTGGTTGGCATATTGTGGTGTTCTTTACAGCTAGGCTGCATGTTTCAACCCACATGTGATTTAAGAAAACCCTTAATTAGTAATCTTTTATGACATGCTTGTTAAGAGGCATTGGAATATCCCCCCTCCCCCCTTCCTTTTCCCTTCCTTCTCACAACGGGACCACGGAACCAGCAGGTAACAACAATTTAGGCATGGAAGTGAGGGCCTCAGCATGACTGCTGGGTGAGGGCCTCAGCATGACTGCTGGAAGTGAGGGCCTCAGCATGACTGCTGGAAGTGAGGGCCTCAGCAGGACTGCTGTGAGGATTTCAGCAGGACTGCTGGAAGTGAGGGCCACAGCATGACTGCTGGAAGTGAGGGCCTCAGCAGGACTGCTGGAAGTGAGGGCCTCAGCAGGACTGCTGGAAGTGAGGGCCTCAGCAGGACTGCTGGAAGTGAGGGCCTCACAGCTGGAAGTGAGGGCCTCACTGCTGGAAGTGAGGGCCTCACTGCTGGAAGTGAGGGCTTCAGTATGATTGCTGGAAGTGAGGACCTTACTGTTGGAAGTGAGGGCCTCAGAATGACTGCTGGAAGTGAGGGCCTTACTGCTGGAAGTGAGGGCTTCACTGCTGGAAGTGAGGGCTTCAGCATGATTGCTGGAAGTGAGGACCTGACTGCTGGAAGTGAGGGCCTCAGAATGACTGCTGCATGTGAGGGCCTCAGCAGGACTGCTGGAAGTGAGGGCCTCAGCAGGACTGCTGGAAGTGAGGGCCTCAGCAGGACTGCTGGAAGTGATGGCCTCAGCAGGACTGCTGGAAGTGAGGGCCTCAGCAGGACTGCTGGAAGTGAGGGCCTCAGCAGGACTGCTGGAAGTGAGGGCCTCAGCAGGACTGCTGGAAGTGAGGGCCTCAGCAGGACTGCTGGAAGTGAGGGCCTTACTGCTGGAAGTGAGGGCTTCACTGCTGGAAGTGAGGGCTTCAGCATGATTGCTGGAAGTGAGGACCTGACTGCTGGAAGTGAGGGCCTCAGAATGACTGCTGCATGTGAGGGCCTCAGCAGGACTGCTGGAAGTGAGGGCCTCAGCAGGACTGCTGGAAGTGAGGGCCTCAGCAGGACTGCTGGAAGTGATGGCCTCAGCAGGACTGCTGGAAGTGAGGGCCTCAGCAGGACTGCTGGAAGTGAGGGCCTCAGCAGGACTGCTGGAAGTGAGGGCCTCAGCAGGACTGCTGGAAGTGAGGGCCTCAGCAGGACTGCTGGAAGTGAGGGCCTCAGCAGGACTGCTGGAAGTGAGGGCCTCAGCAGGACTGCTGGAAGTGAGGGCCTCAGCAGGACTGCTGGAAGTGAGGGCCTTAGCAGGACTGCTGGAAGTGAGGGCCTCAGCAGGACTGCTGAAAGTGAGGGCCTCAGCAAGACTGCTGAAAGTGAGGGCCTCAGCAGGACTGCTGGAAGTGAGGGCCCAAGTATCACTGATAGACTATGAACAGTGGAAGCAGCAGATATGTGTTTAGCATAGCCTCCAAGCCAGGAGAAATCCAGCACGGGTTGGTCTGCCTCGGTTGTCAGATTTTTCCGAAAGAAATAGGTGGGCTTTGTTTTTCTGGACAGCTAGCAAGCCTCGGCAGGCAGAACTTCAATAAGGCTGTGGCGGTGCTTTACTAATTTACTGACAACAATGTGTGGGCATATTGGTTGGCATATTGGTTGGCATATTGGTTGGCATATTGGTTGGCATATTGGTTGGCATATTGGTTGGCATATTGTGGTGTTCTTTACAGCTAGGCTGCATGTTTCAACCCACATGTGATTTAAGAAAACCCTTAATTAGTAATCTTTTATGACATGCTTGTTAAGAGGCATTGGAATATCCCCCCCCCCCTTTTTCCCTTCCTTCTCACAATGGGACCACGGAACCAGCAGGTAACAACAATTTAGGCATGGAAGTGAGGGCCTCAGCATGACTGCTGGGTGAGGGCCTCAGCATGACTGCTGGAAGTGAGGGCCTCAGCATGACTGCTGGAAGTGAGGGCCTCAGCATGACTGCTGGAAGTGAGGGCCTCAGCAGGACTGCTGTGAGGATTTCAGCAGGACTGCTGGAAGTGAGGGCCACAGCATGACTGCTGGAAGTGAGGGCCTCAGCAGGACTGCTGGAAGTGAGGGCCTCAGCATCACTGCTGGAAGTGAGGGCCTCAGCATCACTGCTGGAAGTGAGGGCCTCAGCATCACTGCTGGAAGTGAGGGCCTCAGCATCACTGCTGGAAGTTAGGGCCTCAGCATGACTGCTGGAAGTGATGGCCTCAGCATGACTGCTGGAAGTGAGGGCCTCAGCATGACTGCTGGAAGTGAGGGCCTCAGCATGACTGCTGGAAGGGAGGGCTTCAGCAGGACTGCTGGAAGGGAGGGCTTCAGCAGGACTGCTGGAAGGGAGGGCTTCAGCAGGACTGCTGGAAGGGAGGGCCTCAGCAGGACTGCTGGAAGGGAGGGCCTCAGCAGGACTGCTGGAAGTGAGGGCCTCAGCAGGACTGCTGGAAGTGAGGGCCTCAGCAGGACTGCTGGAAGTGAGGGCCTCAGCAGGACTGCTGGAAGTGAGGGCCTCAGCAGGACTGCTGGAAGTGAGGGCCTCAGCAGGACTGCTGGAAGTGAGGGCCTTACTGCTGGAAGTGAGGGCCTTACTGCTGGAAGTGAGGGCCTCAGCATGATTGCTGGAAGTGAGGACCTTACTGCTGGAAGTGAGGGCCTCAGAATGACTGCTGGAAGTGAGGGCCTCACTGCTGGAAGTGAGGGCCTCAGCAGGACTGCTGGAAGTGAGGGCCTCAGCAGGACTGCTGGAAGTGAGGGCCTCAGCAGGACTGCTGGAAGTGATGGCCTCAGCAGGACTGCTAGAAGTGAGGGCTTCAGCAGGACTGCTGGAAGTGAGGGTTTCAGCAGGACTGCTGGAAGTGAGGGCTTCAGCATGACTGCTGGAAGTGAGGGCTTCAGCATGACTGCTGGAAGTGAGGGCCTCAGCATGACTGCTGGAAGTGAGGGCTTCAGCATGACTGCTGGAAGGGAGGGCCTCAGCAGGACTGCTGGAAGGGAGGGCCTCAGCAGGACTGCTGGAAGTGAGGGCCTCAGCAGGACTGCTGGAAGTGAGGGCCTCAGCAGGACTGCTGGAAGTGAGGGCCTCAGCAGGACTGCTGGAAGTGAGGGCCCAAGTATCACTGATAGACTATGAACAGTGGAAGCAGCAGATATGTGTTTAGCATAGCCTCCAAGCCAGTCGTATGAGTGCCTGTATCTCGTGTGACATGAGGTTTGAAGGCCTGACAAGTCTGCATTTCAGTATATTATTCTTGGAAAAGTTTTGTCAATATATAGATCCAAAGTCTTGGATGTCTCAGTGCTGAGTTCAGAAAGACTCAGGTTTTGGAAACCACACAGTGGACTGGGGTGCATTAGCTCTCTTTGATCAAGTGGTGTGGTAAAATTTCAACCTGAACCTGCAATGAAATAGATGAATGTCCTGAAGGAAGTATTAGTGGCAAGAATGACATAGGAATATGAAATACCTAGAACATTATAAAGTACAGATGTTAGGTTTGTGAAATATTATGTATCTGTACTCTCATTTACTTACCCTCGTCCTTCTCCCCAGAACCAAAAAGCCCAAGAAAGGAAAGGTAAGTTTTGTTTTGGCAGTTCCTTTATTCATTCTAAAGCTCAGATTTGTTTAAAATCATGTCTGAGTGTTCCCACCTAGTGTTTGTGCAAATTAAGTTTTCTGTTATGAATTTCTGAATATTGATTTAGGAATTAACATAAGTATATTGGGCACACTGATACATCTCTAATCTACCTCAGCAAATGTCAGAGGCCAGATCCCCAGCATAGAGAGATCAATACAAATAATTTGGCAGGGAATTTGCAGGCCACTTGCTAGGCATCTGCAGGCCAGATTTGACCCACAGTGACCAGTTGAATAACCCTGTCTTAGGATGTAGAGGCTGACTGTTCCAGTAGCACACATTTTGCCTTGCTGTTCTTTTGTTCTTTCTTGCTGTACCTGCATTTAATAGTAGTTTATAGTTTCATCATTTCTCAATAATGATCAAAACCACTTTCACGTAATTTTAACCCCCCCCCCCCCCCCCCCCCCCAAAAAAAAAAATGTCTCCTTTAGGTGTAAAATAGTCTGAAAAAAAAAAAAACAGAATACTCATTTGTAATGAGAACCTTACGCCATGTGAACTGTCACAAGCCACATAAGTTAAGGTTTAAGACTTAAAGCATTCTTATAAACATAATGGTCTCCAACACCAGGTCACCCCCCCCCCCCCCAAGATACCCACGCCCCCTTGAGTAAAAAGTAAGGGTTAAGTTCACGTTAATCTCCCCAGAGTAGGTCACTTTTCATTTACAAGTTTGTTGGGTTGGTCGACTTTCCTGATGGTTACGGGTGTGTCCTGCTTTGTTTGTTTTCTGTGATGACTTGCATTTACATTTTCATTCTGAGAAAAATGCCCATGACATAGGTTGCAGCACTTTCCTGTGGGTTGTGTTAGAACCAGTTTGTCCATGTTTTTGGAGTGTTAAAAGCGCTGGTATGTTGAAATATACAACACGCAATATCATTACGGAACACCCCTGTAACCTTGTGCAAAGGTGAGAGGTTCAGGAACTACCTAGGAACTATATCAGAAGTGAGCTAGAGTGTATATGGGTAGGGCATGGGGAGATTTTTTTAAAAAATGGAGTACATGTTAAGATTGCCACGCCCTTCGAGTATAAGGCAAGAGCTCCTCGGGCTCCCCGCTCAGAGTACATGGCAAGACCACATCCCCTGCCCAAACATAACAAAGTGATTAACAAGAGGACAACAAATTCTACCAACATGGGAAACAGTTTTGAGCAGAATGTTTTCTTTACCTTTAAATGCTTGTTTTCAAATGATTAGACAAAAAAATTACAGATTATTACATACGCACTCAACTTCAAAATTGCTTCACGCCCTCTTGAAAACTCGTTTCCTCAAACCCCCCCCCCCCCCCTTTAGATTGGAGATCACTGCTGCAAACTCCTCTAGTAGAACAAACAGCAGATAAAAAGATACATATTGAAAATTAATAGCTACTAAGAGTTAACTGTTAGGCAACAAATAAAGCAAGTCGGTAGGTTTTTATTTTTCAAAAAAGTTATTGTAGTTTTTGTAGTTGTACCGCCCATCTATACGTATCTCTCCTCTCAAAAATCGTACTCGATGCCCTTACTGCTGCGTTATGATAAGCTCCTCCCCATTTGGTTAGGGTGGGGGGGGGGGTTAGGAACCACCCCCCTCCCCCAGGGTGGGGCAACAAGCATGTCGTCAAGGGTGACTGATGGGTTTCCCTTCGAATTTGGAGTTGATCAATCCCGAGAGGCAAAGAAATGTACGTTTTTCACACAAGCAAGTCAGGCGTGTAAAGTGGATTAGTAAAGTATTTTGTACCCCACCTGGATATCACGCAAGCGATAAACACCCGGTGACACAAAGTGCCACAGTGCGGACGAGGAGCGCCCGTGGAGAGGTCACGGAAACCCCGTTTAGTCATTCGGCCATATTTTAGGCCCGGCTTTATTTGGGGCCCCAGCAAAAGCCAGGCTGGGGCTTCAAAATAACTAATCGCATCCCACATGGGGACGACGCGACATTGAATGTCGCGACCGGACAATGGATGTGCGAGCAAAACTCAGGTTCTGCAACAAGCTAAAATCCAGAAATGGAAGACCTTCTCCAAGAATTTACATTTGAAAAAAAAAAAGTAAAATAACAATGTGGTGCCCTACCGATGGCGAAAACGCGAAAATATGCCTTACCCATTCTAAAAGCTCCAGCATTGTTCGGGAATGGTGTGTTGTATTGATAGCCGTATTTTGTCCTTGCTTTCAATTATTTCAAGGGACACAACAACTTTGACGTTTGTTTATCTCAATTGCACCCCTTTTATTAATAAAATCTAGGCGGAAATGGAGGATTAATGTCTAAGGCAGGTGGGACACGACTGTTTCCTGAGAGCTGAAATGTTGAAAATGGGGACTACAGACCGAGCCACAGCGTAGAAAGATTTACAAAACTGGCAGTGATCCGCTAGTCACTTGCTGTGCCTCTGCGGGCTGCATTCTGCAAGTGGACCGCCTTAGAATAGCCCTGCTGTTATATATATATATATATATATATATATATATATATATATATATATATATATATATATATATATATATATATATATGTGTGTGTGTGTTTGTGACTTGGCCAGTCTCATTACGTACTAGCGGAGAGATGCATGTTAGAACCTGCCACAGTAGAAAGGGTCTGTTTTCTACCTCATGTTGAGAACGGAAAAATGGGGGTCACATATCGGGTTTGGTTTTTATGCGCACTGACACTGATTGTCTAATACAATCAACTAACGATTGTTGCACATTTCCTAGCGTGGCAAATTTGACAGGAACCTGACAGGCCCCTTTGCGCGACAACGTTTTTATTCAAGATGGACGACAAATATGAACACAAGTTGACGTCTAGAACTGGGAGGACTGCTTGCTGATACAGCAGCATCTTTCATATTGTTAACTCGATACGCTGTAATGTTGCTTAGTTCGGGTTTACCTGTTGAAATGGCGCTCCGTGGGGTATAAGATTGCTGCAACTGTTCAGGCAGAATGCCACCTTATTTATTTTGCTAAGTTATACCGCAATGGACAAGTTGCCGGCATACAGCAGTTGTCCCGTGGTGCTTCGCTGAGCTGTTAGCTTTTTAGTTGTTTGCATTATTGCGATGTCCTTACACAGCTTGACCTACATTCGCTAATAGTTTATTTTCACGTCAATTGTGCTGCCTTGTGTATCGAGCCAGGAAACTAGAAAACAGCAAGGATCTACTAGTTCCTGCCTGCCTTTGGGGGGGAGGGAGGGGGGGGTGGGAGGGGGGAAGGGGGGATGGGGGGGTGGGGGGTGGGGGGGACCTTTTTCTTTGCCTTCTTTGCCTTCTTCTTCTTTGCCTTCTCCTCCTTCTGTTTCTCCTTAAAAGGGCGTTAACACGTTACTGTAGTTTACTAGGATGCACATTTCCGGCCATTCGGCACAATACACTTAATTTAAGAAAATCCATAATTAGTCGCTTTGTACCACATGCTTGACAAAAAGCAATGGTTCTATAACCTCGCCCCCCCCCCCCCTCACCCAAATGCGTCTCACAATCCCATTCGTGGAAGCAGGAATATGAACTTGTTCATTTTTCGTTCGTTGTTTTATTGAGAATTATTCTATTGGAAACAGTGACTGAAAAAAGAATTAATGCAGTGGAGCTGATATAGAACTGAAAAGGGGCGACCGGAAAAGACATACACAGAGACAAAACTGAACAGTTCGGCCAAATTCTTTATCATTAAAATAGTAAATCAATGAACCCATGTGACTTTCAAGTTCGTTGATGTGATTTCTGGTTTTTTTTTGTTTTTGTTGGTCATGATTTGCCATACCAGTAAAGTTTGAGCGGTTATGATCATCTTACCCGTTCCTTCATCTCACCCAACACCCTTCTCACTTGACACCCCCCACCCCTCCTCAAACTCTCACTAGTCCCAAACTCACCAGGTTCTTTGTCTGATTTTCCGATGTAGCAATAGCGTCTCACACGGTCTGTCTCACCCAGTTTCGGTCTCTCACCCGGTCTCGGTCTCACCCGGTCTCGGTCTCACCCGGTCTCGGTCTCACCCGGTCTCGGTCTCACCCGGTCTCGGTCTCACCCGGTCTCGGTCTCACCCAGTCTCGGTCTCGGCTGTTCTAGGTCTCACCTGGTCTGTTTCATTTGGTCTTGGTCCCTCTCGCTCGTCTGTCTGTCTCATTCGTATTATTACCATTATTATATTTTCTAAAGTTAATTCTCACCCGATTTCGGTCTCACCTGGTCTCGGTCTCACCCGGTCTCGGTCTCACCCGGTCCCGGTCTCGGTCTCACCCGGTCTCGGTCTCGCCTGGTCTGTTTAATGTGGTCTTGGTCCCTCTCGCTCGTCTGTCTGTCTCATTCGTATTATTACCATTATTATATTATCTAAAGTTAATTCTTTTGTCTTCTGCCTTTAACCCCCAACGTTCTGTCCCCCAGGCGGGCCTGTGTAAAAAAGAGACCAACTGACGCCAAGTTGTTCTTTCCTTCGCTTTTTCTTGCAGCTTTTCCTAAAGTAGTCACAATATTTTTAACTTTTCTTTAGCCCCGTTGTCTGTTTTTTTTTTTAAATCTTCCTTTATCTCTGTGGCCCTGTGGGTTCCTGCGCAAAGACTTTCAAATTATACTGTTAACAGGTTTTCATTACGTGACCTATCCAACGCGAGCGTCTTTTCTTCATCTTAGTCCACTGGATCTTGCTTAGTTCTCTCCAATGGCTCTATATTAGTGAATCATTTAATTTCTTTTATTCTGCACTGACACCACTTAGTGGTTATTTGTAGTTTATTAGTTCCTTAGTTGTTCTCCATGTTTTCCCTCTATACAACAGTACTGATTTGCCATTAGAAATGTTTTTTTTTTTTTTAAATATAGATTTTCACACAATTCCCCATCTACATTACTGCCTAAAAAAGCTGTACGACTCCACGTCTTGAAATAGATACCATTAAAAGAAACCACATTACTCATCTGCCTGATTTCTC